CAAGTTTTGAAAGTTTTAAAAACCCAAATTCCTTTATCTGTACTGCTGTGGTTTTCATATACACACCTTTTTACTGTAGCAATGTTAAAGGTTGTGGACAGAGGAGCATGTGATTAAATATTAATAGTAATTCTGCTACAAACTGAATGATCATGGCAGGTATGAAATTTCAAGCATAATTTCAAATGTCATCCGCGAGTGTTTAGGAGCTTGTCTTGTGAATTGATGTTCTAAAATTTAAGAAACTGAGAGTGCCATTTCAGAATATGGTTCAGTTAGAATGATGTAAAATAATTTAAGGCAATAAAAACAGAATAGGTAATAGGGGTAGTTTAAACTGAGCAAATAGGGTAAGCATATGCCATGGGTTTACAGTCACGACCGTTTTCCTGCAGCTGAATGAAGAATTATAACTTTGACTTGTGTCTTGAAGTGTGAAGCTTAGTATATGACCATATACTCAGACAGTCGTAACCTGAAAGCTTTATCATATCTCTCCCTCTTAAAGGAGACTGCAGATTCTTCACTGAGTAGCAGATGTTTTTTTCTCTACCTTAATAGAGCATCTGCATTTTTAATCACACAGTGCAGTTTAATTATTGTCTAGTGAGGCTGAGCCTGGAGCAGTGGCTAAAAATAGTGGAGTGAACTCTTGTTAATATCACATTTTATACAAAGAATGTCTTCTTCATCACTGCGATTTTAGTCTGTTAGGCACTCTGTTTGCCACATTGCCAAGCTGCAGACCTGCTGTTGGCTCTATTGCATTTCAATCCCTCTCGGTTGTTTCGTATTTGTTAATATAATGCGCTGCAGAGCGCGCAGTGTTTGTCCAGCTGCCATGTCGCTGTATCGCTTTGCAAAGCAATCACGCAAGGAAAGAATGCATTAAAGCAGAAAATGACAGATTCCAAGCACTGAAATTACAAGATCAAAACCCCAAAACGCAGGGAAAACCATAATTCAGTAATCCGGCCAAATTAAAGTAATAACAAGCATGGCTTGACTTGCTCAGTCCTGTCACTGTTCTGTAGGCTGACAAAGTCAAGGTCTTCTTTTAGGTTGGGGAAAGAAAGTAAATTTTGTTTTGTGAAGTAGCAAGAAATGGTTTTTGCGGCTTGCCCTGGGTCCTGAGGCTTGAGAGCAATAGGGCTCAATGTTGACTCTTCCTGAAAGAGCACTGCCTTCGCAGATCCGGAGTGATGCTCTCCACTGTTTTCCGGCGGGAGACCCGCATGTCTGATGGATGTGAAGCGATGCTACAGCGAGGTCTTTGGGGGGGGCAGTCTTGTTCCTTTGTTCTGATCCGGCTTCAGGCCGCTCTGGTGCTGAGGCGACATCGACAGGTGCCGACGGGACAGACGAGCAACGTCGTGCCAAACCCAGGAGCCACAGGTCCCGGCTTCCTTGATGCTGCCGGCGCTGGACCTTCATTGCATAGTGGGGATGGTGCTCCCCTGCGTGGCTGTGGTTGTGGACTGCTTGAAAGCATCTCGTTAACGTTGCATCACGTCGCGCTTAGTTTATGCCGGAATACGTGTTCCAGGAGTATTCAACTGGGCGACGTCCTGGTTAAGAGAGAGAAAAGCAAATTAACAGGGAATTGAGAACTGTTTTTTTTTTTAAATTTAATTCTTGCTGCCTGGTTGGTTAATGAGCAGCAGCGTCTCTCTGCTTGCTCCTGGAGGAGTTCTGTTATCCCTGCTTCCTCTCCCGCAGACCTCTCCACTGCCAGTTTCCACTTTGCACGTTCCCGCCCCACCATCATAAGAACCTCTCCTAAAAAGGGCTTGGTTTAGCTTTACTAGCTCTGCCTTCATTCAGAATATTTTGCCGCATTCCTCTCCGGCATAGGCTGCCCGAACTAGCTGGATTAAGGAGTGGCGGGGCTTTGTGACGGAGGTATTGCATAACTCCCCCCTTGCTGTCCTGGCTTGTTCTTGCTTTTGGAATGTCAGGAAGCCAGACTTCACCTTGTGGCCTTAAAGCTGAGAAATAGGTTCAGTGGAAGTCGTACGTAGGGGCTGGGGTTTTGTTTTGCATTCTATAACAGAAATGGGCTGCACTCAGGTACGGTCCTTACGGAAGCCAACGAGTAAACCTACTGTATAAGGAAGCAGGTGGCTGCATTCCTCTTCTCCAAATGAGTCCTGTTCAGGACCGTAAAGCATGGCTGCTTGTTAACTGAATGAATGTAGGGAAGCTGTGCTGCGGCTGTAGGGCGGAAGGTAACCCACGCATTTCACACGGGCTGCTGGTCCTCCAAAGGCACCTAGTCATGCTGTATTGGCGCTAGCCATTACAAGGCAGAATCCTTCACGAGCTGGAGGTGGCTTCCTCCGGTCAGCTAGTGTGTGTGTGTGGGGGTCTCTTTGTAACCATTTCCGTCTTCTAGCTTTCTCACTTGCTGCCTGATGCTTCTTAGGATAGTGGTGCCTAAACTAATGTCCTAGAAGCCCTTGCTCTGTATAATCACTCCCTGCAATGCGAGTCGATGTGGATGTATACAGTACTTAATGGGGGTTAGGCATGGGTTTGGTGTGAGTGGGTTTGCTCTGTGATGGGGTGAGCAGCGAGACAGTCGGGTGCGACTCTGGGGGACAGGCGGCGCTCCTCAGGATCGAGAGGAGCCGGTTGAGGCACCGGTGAGGATGCCCCCCCAGGCTCCTCCTGCTGGAGGTGTGCCAGGCACGATCCTGTGGGAAGAGACCCTGGGACAGGCCCAGGACAGGCTGCAGGGATTATCTCTCTGGAATGCCTGTCTGCTCTGGAATGGGGGTCTGGTGTGCCCTGCTCAGGCTGTTGCCACCACCACGTCCCTCAGATAGAAAATGAGGGGGGGGGGGGGTGATTAGGGTTGTGGACTTGTAACGGAAAAGTTGTGGGTTCAGATCCCCGGGGGGGACACTGTTGTGGTACTCTTGAGTCATGTGTGTCGCTCAGATTGCCCAGTGATATTAATGAGTGCAAAAGATAAGTTGCTTTACCAAACGAACTAGATGGGCTTCTTCTCGTTTGTAATGTTTATGTTCCTCGGTCAAAGTGTTGGCCGAGCTAATACCTTGTGTGGATTTTATGAGCTGTTTTGCCTTTTAAGAGCGAAGTTGTGGATTTGTACTGTAGATTTCACTAGCTATTTTCAAGAGGTGTTGGTCCAGTTGCTGCAGCTTTTAAGACGCCGTCGTGTCCATACTTTTAATTTCTTGTGTGAAACAGACTGGTGCTGATCTTGGTGCAAATTCAAGCAGGGGTTTAAGCAGCAGCTCAAGGGAGTTTCTGGGTTTATTAACTGCGGGTATTTACCCTTTTGCGGCCCAGTATACTTTTAAATATGACCATTATTATACTTGTGTTTTAAGATGAATAAATTGGGGTTGTTCAAAATCAGAAGCAGAGTCCAGTGACACTTAAGTATGATGATATCTGTAAAGCAAAGGGGAGTCCACCCAGTCCATACTGCTCCAAAATATAAGAGGATATTAAACTGGCTTAAAGCCACTTTAGCAAAAGCATCTCACTTGGACCTTTGCTAGTGGTTCATGATAAGATATAATCTTCAGCACTGTTGTGTGTGCAAAGGCAATGCTCTTGTGGACTGTGTGAAGCTCTTATTGATCATCCCACTGAGGCAAAATGAAAGCAATCCTGGATCAAGGTAAATCACACCTTTGCTGACTGTCTGAGTTTGTTTTAGTGCCCCCTTTTTAGATTTGGAAGTGTAGCTGAATAAACATCAAAGGCACGGTGAGGCACTATCACAGTCCGGGCCGGTTTCCTTCGGGAATGGTGTAGTGGGAGCAGTTCAAGGAAACCCAAAGCTCCTATGCTGGTAATTTCATGCTGCACCTGCTCCAGGGTGGGCAGGTTTCTGTCTCATCAGAGGAGCTGCAGAAACACTCGATGGATTGCACAGCCTGTTAACTCCAAAATGGATCAGACTGCCGTGCAATGGGAGTGGTTAGCAGCAACCATGTCCGTTCAGTGACCAGTTTAGTCAAGAGTCTGTGCACTCCTGCAAGAACAGTTATTGTTATTGTTGTTATTATTATTATTGCTTACACTTGTATAGCGCTTTTCTGGACTCTCCAGTCATAGCGCATTACAGGTAATGGGGATCCCCTCCACCACCCCCAGTGTGCAGCCCCACCTGGATGACATGACATGGTTATGATATGGTGCAACGTGGGAGCTGATCAAGCTGACAGGTGTCGTAGATCAGTGCTCAGCTTTTCTATGCTTGTTCTGAACAGATCAGCCCGTCTCTTCCCCGAGGTGGTAGTCTAGTTATTTCATGTATCCTAGTGTGGCTCCAGCTTTGATAAATGTGGGAGACCGATGTACCACTATCTCTGGATGCAGGCAGGGAATTGGCAGTTTATCTGTAGTTGCAGTAACAGCAGGTCATGAATCTCTGTGCCTTTCTGTTTGCTGGACATGCATTTACACTACAGCCTCTACCTACCCAGGGGAAGTTGTGATAAATTAAATTGTTGATCCGCACAATTGCGTGTACAGCCAGATTAGATGGACAATAAGGTGGAAGTGGCTAGTAATGCAGAGTAAGGGGCTCTTAGACCTGCAGCTTGCTTGCGTAACGCAGCCTGAAAGCAAACATGCAGTTCCTAGTTTGAATTGAGTTCTAAAGTCCAGACGTTACTGAACTAAAAATGTTGGTTGTGTTTGAAGACTCTAGAGACAGCGGATCTATTTACTGGATGCACTAGTTCAGATGTTCCAAGATGGGCAAACACAACCATCTTCACATCATGCATCATTGCAATATGTGGGGCTTTTGTGTCTTGAATAGAACTTTTATTAGAATGCACTCCCCATCAAGGCATACGTGACGTTACAAAGTATGTGCATATTTACTGCTTATAGTTAGTGAGCCTTGGGATTCTGTATCCATTGAGTCTATATACTTTGAGTCGATCCATTTAATGTAGTTGATTCTGAGCTCTGCATAGATCCTTTTTTGACAGCTACAGGAAGTTAATAATGCTATTTGATGGCTCCCTCTTGTGGGCAGACTGCAGAATATTTGTTGTTTTTGCCTTTCCTGTACATGTATTTTAAACCTTTAATAATAATATCACTTTATTAACCCTTTACAATTTCTTGCATTAGGAATTATCTTTTCGCATACCCCAGCTTGCTCTCCATGAGACACACAGACAGGGAGAGAAGCTGGGGGTCAGAGCGCAGGGTCTGCCATTGTATGGCGCCCCTGGAGCAGCTGGGGTTAAGGGCCTTGCTCAGGGGCCCAACGGAGTAGGATTCCTCTGCCGGCTGAGGGATTTGAACCGGCAACCTCCCAGCCACAGGCACAGATCCTGAGCCACAGAGCCTTTAACTACAGCATCAAAAACTGCCTTGTCTTTTCTCTCTCTCTCTCTCATGGTCATTAATGTCTTTTTTTTTCTTCCCTTTTCAGAGAGATTCAGCTGTTACGAAGACTACGGCACAAAAATGTTATCCAGCTGGTGGATGTGCTATATAACGAAGAGAAGCAGAAAATATATCCTTTGGATGGGAGAAAGTGGTATCATTTGTTTGTGGCGTGACAGTCCCAGACAAATCTTTGAATCTATGAAACTGAACTTTGCCGTAGTGCCAGTAAGATATGATCAGTAATCTAAGCATCAAGCAATATTCAGAATAGTTTAAAGAACAAGCAGACTGTTTAATTAAACACCTTAGTAGCTTAATATTAATATTGTTGGAATAATGATTAGATAACCACTGCAACAGAATTGTTTTATATAACAAAATGTAGGTATAGTTTTGCTTTCAGAAGGCTGAGAAACGTCCAAATTTCTTGGTGGTGCCCACCCAGCAATATCCTGTGCTTAAGCCCCAGTATCCACTGTAGCATAAGGAGGTTGAGTCCTTCAGCTACCTTAAATCCACTTAATCCCTACCCACTTCAGCAACACAGCCTAGAGACCGTCTGTGTCCATTCTGCATACATATTTTAGTTTTGCTGTACTCCTTAGTTGAGAAAAGTTTGTGGATGTAGTTTGTGCTCATCCTTTGGAAGTGTGCTGTCATGCATCAAAAGGTATGCTAATGCAATGTGACGAGATTATTATATGAATGAAATCTGGATGGTGTGGTTTGCTACCTCGCAGCACTGGGATGCTACTTCCTGGGGTGCTATTTGCACAGTGTTTGTGTGTTCTCCCTGTGGTTTGCATGGGTTTCCTCCGGGTGCTATGGTTTTTCCTCCCACAGTCCTGGTGTTTCTCTGCATGTCTGTCTGTGTGTGATCTGCGATGTACTAGCATCCTGTCCAGGTTGTATCCCTTGCAGGTAGGCCCTGGCTCCCCTTCGACCTAGTAGTAGATAAAGCTGTTAGCGAATGGATTAATGAAATCCACATTGGATAGCATTGCTGGAAAGCCTGATTGCAGCACCTTGCATTGCAGTGTTAGGTCTTTTGTTTTTATGTTCTGCCCTTCCAGAGCTGTCAGTTCTATTGATCGCTGGGAAGCAGCTCTTAACCCAGGAGAGGTGGAGCCAGGCAGCTCCAGGCCGATGGTTTTCCAGTCCATTGGCCATTGTGCAGAGCACAGAGATAGGAAAATCTGCCAGACAGAAAGGGAGCAAGCCTGTTCAAGCAGAAAACAAGGCTTAGGTGCAGCACTAATGTGTTCAGAGCTCAAAGACAAGGCGAATGAGTAAGTGCTGTACATTTGGTCTTGTACTCATTCACAGAAGTGCTGAAGGTTTTTTGTGTCTTCATTCAGCAGTTGGAGCCATGGAAAGTTTTTCAGTGAAATTGTTCATATCTGCGGTATTGCAGCAGTGACCAAGTCATGCAGTTTCAACATCTACATATTTTTCCTGTGTGGCTTTACGGTACTCCATCTTCAGTCTAATGTAGAAATGCATGTTCTTTGTGCTTTGAGGCTGCAGTTCTGCTGAATGGCCACTGTGGGCTGCTCTTAGTCTTCTGGCAAATTAAACTTCTGTCACGTGGCACGGTACTGATCCTGTTAATACAGGCACAGTTAATTTTAATCTCATTGCCTTTTTAGGCACACCATAGTACTTAGAATAGTCACCTTCACAACCTCTTCAGCATTTATGGCTATATTGCTGGATTGTTCAAGCCAGCAGCTGTTTCAACCTGCAACTCACAGCTGGCAGCCTACTGAAGCCCAGCACGTGTGAGCCTGGCCAGTACCTGGGACCTCCTGGGAAAAACTAAGGTTGCTGCTGGAAGAGGTGTTAGTGGGACCAGTAGGGGGCGCTCACCCTGCGGTTTGTGTGGGTCCTTATGCCCCAGTATAGTGACAGGGACACTATACTGTAAAAAGGCGCTGTCCTTCGGATGGAGATGTAAAACCGAGGTCCTGACTCTCTGTGGTCATTAAAAATCCCAGGGTGTTTCTCAAAAAGAGTAGGGGTGTTAACCTAGTGTCCTGGCCAAATTTCCCATTGGCCCTAACCAATCATGGCCTCCTAATAATCCCCATCTCTGAACTGGCTTCATCACTCTGCTCTCCTCCCCACTGGGAGCTGGTGTGTGGGGAGCGGACTGGCGCATCATCCAGGTGGGGGTACACACTGGTGGTGGTGGAGGGGAGTCCCCATTACCTGTAAAGAGCTCCGAGTGAGTGTCCAGAAAAGTGCTATATAAGTGTAAGGGATTATTAATATTCATATAAGTTTTAAAAAGTAATCAGATCATACCCACTAGCCAACCACTTGCCCTTTTATAGTAATAGTTTTTATTGCTGGTGACTTGTTACAAAACCGCTTTTCTCATGAATAAAGGGCTTAGGTGACTGCTTTATGGGATGTAATGGGCAGCGATATCTGATTAGTTAAGCAGCCAGGCTGTATTGCCATCGTTTGAAGAGGATAAAAAAAATATGCTTCCTACAAGGTACAAAGTGGTGGCCTCTTATATCAGTATTCTAGTACCAGCTGCAGGAACACAGACGGGTGTATTCTGTCTCTCCATTAAAAGCAACATTTTGAGTAGGGTGGATTTCGTCAGTAACCTCAAGTGACAAAGCCACTGCATTCAAGTGAGACTTGCCTCTTTCTACTAGTCTAAGGAAATATTAAAGAAAACGGAGTTCTTGCAAACTCCCAGCTCTCTCTCCATCTGCAATTAAATGACCCTGATGCTTCAGCACAGCTCTGACCGCGCGGGAGTCATGGCGGTAATGGGGATAGTAACAAACACTCTTATTTTCCGTTGCTAAAACCTGACTTCCATCTCAAGGACTTCATCTCTTGGGCCCCTGGCGGCACTCTCCTGCAGCCTCTTGCCCACGACCCATTTCCTCTTTGTTTCTGTCGTGTTTGGCCGAGACGTCTTCAAATTCATTGCTTCAATTTTTTAACGCGCAAAAAAAAAAAAAAATCACTGTCTGGCTCTCGGGGGGGATGTGTAGGGAAGAATTTGAAATGCGGCCTCTCCAGCCTCTCCTCCTTCTTTTTTTTTTTTAACACAAGAAAATTGTAACCGGTTGCTGCGTCTGGAGCAGTTGAACCATCCCCTGCAGACATTCCTGTAACGTTGCCCGTTCAGCCGATCTGCTGTGCCTCTGATTCGGTCTCAGTCACTGACTGAGCTGGCGCGGGGGAAGAAGAACTGGGCGACGGGTGCGATTTGGTTCTTTGTTAATTTGTCCTTTTCCTTTTCGCCGTGCGAGAACGCCCCTCCCGCGTTTTCATTCTCAGGGTTTGCTCTCCAGCCGCTGTTTTCCCCCCCCGCCGCATCTGCAGCAATTGACAATTGCTGCAGATGTGACAGCCTCTCACTCTGCGTACAGGGGTTGGTCATCGTGTGTCTTACCTTTGTGTCCTTGCCCGTGTTCAGTGCTGTAAGGGTGGCTCTCTTGTTCTGTATTCCTGTGGGCACTATGGCGGGCCCTTCAGAGATCTTTCTTCCTTGTAAACGGCACATAAGGGTTTGCCCTGGAGATCTTAAAGAACAAAGCGGTAACTTATTTATTTTTTTGGACATGCCAGTTTCATCTGACTTTTTCACAAGATGCAGGAATGCTTTGTCGTCGTTCTTCGTGCAGATGGTCGAGTTTGAAGGTTAGGGCGTCTGCGCCCGTGGTGACCCGCACACCTGCTGGCTTGTGTTCCAGCCGAGCCCTCAGTGATGCAGTCAGACCCTTCATTACCTTAAGATGAATCTGGACTGTTTGTTCCCGGGTCTCAACGTTTTGGAGCTTTGATCATTTTCTTTGGAAATTGAAATAAGATCCCAAGCTTGTGACTGCAACCAAAATTCAAGTATTCAATTGAAGCAGCGTCTCCGATCGAGTAAGACTTCAGTTATCGGATGAGGGTGAGGCAGTGTGAACACCAGCAGACATGTGGGTCACCAGGACCAGGGTTGTCCTGGGTTGTGAACCACCTTGCTATTGGCTGTGTTTAGTCCCTTCCCACTACTACTAGCCTGGTAGGTGTAAGTAGAGCACCCACAAGCAGTGCGATTGGCGAACACATTTGACCATGCTCCTCAGACCTCTATACCATCTACCTCATTATCATTTCTTATTTATTGCACATCTGCAGTCATTGTTTACATTCAAACTGTTTACTTGTTTTACTTGTACAGTGTCTACTGTTTGTTTGTATGTTGTCCTGATGCACTGTCTGCACTTCTGTGTTTTTACACATTTTAACAGTGGAGAGACTTTCTGTAAGTAAGAATTCCATTGTACCAGTACGTGTACCGGTTACATATGGTAGTAAAGTTCAAGTAGATATCTCAGGTCTTACAGCTGATCTGCAAACTCATTGATTAGCAGATTCCTGATCATAGTTTTTACAGTATTGCTTTTCCTTAACCCTGCCTCCACGTATATGGTGATGGAGTACTGTGTCTGTGGAATGCAGGAGATGTTGGACAGCGTTCCTGAAAAGAGGTTTCCAGTGTTTCAAGCTCACGGGTGCGTGACAGCTATTTTTTTTTTTATTATTCTTGAGAAGTTTTAATTTTGTGCTATTTAAAAAAAAAAAGGATAGCAGTAATCTATACCTGTTGATCACAGTTCTGTTGCATTTATTAAGATGGTAGCACTGAAGTCAAAAAGCCGCTACCAGTAAGAGCAGCATGATAAGACAAAACGTGCTTCTTTCTGTACCCATTATATTTTCACACAGTACAGAAGTCACAGTTGCATTGGGTTCAGTCTTGGAAGTTGATTCTTTCTAAATGAATACACACTGTATTCACGCCAGTGGATATGGGCTCTGACCATGACTTAATCTTGATTTGTTTTCTGTGTGTTTTTTAGGTATTTTTGCCAGCTTATAGATGGCTTAGAGTATTTGCACAGCCAGGGAATAGTTCATAAAGACATTAAACCAGGGAATCTGCTGCTGACAACGGATGGTGCACTAAAAATCTCCGACCTGGGGGTAGCTGAGGTAGGAACACATTTTAGTGCTTGGAAACTGGGTAGTTTGCTTTTCGGCACAATGCGACTGAGACGCACAAAGACCGGTGGTGCTGAACTGTCATATATGTGTCTGTTCATACTGCCTCTCCTGGAAGAATAAAACAGATGTTGCTTTTTTTGCAAGTAGTAGTTCTGTGTATTTATTTTTCTTAAGTTTTAAATTCTGCATGTGGTGGGTGGGGGGGCTCAGAGGAGTATAAAATATCTTGCAGATGGTTGTTAGGCAGTTGGTGAAATCCCTTCATTTCTGTGCACCCACAAATTTCAAAAGTGGGGATGTTTTTCGCCAATACAAGACACTGCAGCAGTTCCCTAGTGGCTGGAGATGATCCTGTTGTTTCCTCCTGCTGCTTCAGGCTTTACACCCTTTCGCTGAGGATGACACATGTAGGACAAGTCAGGGGTCCCCGGCCTTCCAGCCCCCCGAGATCGCCAACGGCTTGGACACTTTTTCAGGGTTCAAAGTTGACATCTGGTCTGCGGGGGTCACGCTGTAAGTATCGGGGCCCTTCATAAGATCTGTGAGGAGGAACATCTTGCTCTAAACGAATACATCTACTATAATGCTGATTGCACTTTGGTTTTGTACGTTTTAAGAGTTTTCCTTAAAAAAAACTCAAAGATCAATCAAAACTCCTTCATTCTCTGATTTTATTTTCATGTCTGTAGATGAAATGTGCACTGATTAGTAAAAAAAGTTATAATTAGGTCTTTGTTTCTATCTACAGTTAACCTCTGAAAGAATGGATGCACTTGGTGATGGTGTTTAGTTCCCAATTTCAGTGTGTTGAATGTGTTGAAATAAATGTACATTTGTATGCATGTACAAGATGCACATTTTTTAAAATTATTTTAAACTGAGTCACCTGTTGTATTTGTGATTTCTCAGTCATGTTGATGAAATCTTTAAACCACTTTCTCTGCAGATATAACATTACAACCAGCCTTTATCCGTTTGAAGGAGACAACATCTATAAGCTATTTGAAAACATAGGCAAGGGAGACTACAGTATTCCTGAAGACTGTGGCCCCCTTCTGACAGATCTCCTGAGAGGTAAAGGACTTAATGGAGGCAGAAAAGATGTAGTGAGAAATGGGTTTTAGTGTTGCCTTGTGCAGTTTTGAGTAGTGGCCTTTTAACACTTGTACGATAGTCAGACACACCAGGCTAAATGGGATTGTTTCATTAATTTTGTCCTTCATTAATGCTTAATCGGGATTCGATTGCATTTCTGTAATTATGTTGACAAGTTTTCTAAATTGCTGTGTAGTAAAATTGAATTGGCGGCATATAGGTACAGAACACTTCTATGCATTAAAACCATGATCATAGAACTTGATATTGGATTTCTTGCAGAAGTCCCACAATATAAAAGCTTGAATTCTGTCCTATCCCTACTCTAATTCTCCTGCAATTTCATTCAGTAACATGCTAAGACAAAAGCCTATGTCGATATCTATATATTCATTCTGATGACTAGTGCATTACCGACTTTGTCACACTGAGACGTTTGCCGCTGTAGCAAATTATTGATTTTAGTTTTTCTGCTCTCGGGCAAAAAAAGATTTCTTTTCTGTAAGAATGCAGCAGATGGCACTGTTTTGACAGTGTGGCGGATTGGATTGCAACAGTAATATTTTAGTTCTCCCGGTGCTTTGATGTCCATTGCAACTGTTTGCAATTTTCTTTAACTTAGGCTTATTTCTTTATTGATTTTTGAAAGCTATTTTCCCAGGAAGCGGGGCAGGCATCAATACCACCTCAGCCACAGTTCACGGCGCTGTGTTTTATTGATATTAACAGTACTGTAATATCTATATGATTGTCACACTATGTCCTCACCCGTATTCTTTATTTTGGAGGTGCCTGAGCAGTCCTCAAGGGCTGTGATCCGGCAGGTTGTTAAGCAGTCTTTAAGACCTGGGGCTAATTTATTGAGTTCATTGTTTATGAGTGGCTCAGGTACAACAAAGCAAGAGCTCCATTAGCTCCCAAGAGCTGGCATTTGGTGATCTAAAGAACATAAGAATGGTCACAAAGGAGAAGTCCATTTGGACTAGCCTGTTTGATAGGCTGAATGGCCATCTCTTGTTTGAAACCTTTCTCTCCAGCACAGCTCACTGCCTTCTACAGAAGCCCTGAGGATCGAGCAGTGGTATTTTTAAGTTAAAACACTGCTGCAATGTTAGCAAAAGAAGAAAAACCTTCAAGTTATAGCCATCCCTCCATGTAAGCATGCAAGGCATTACCTGGCTGAGCTAGTTAGCTGTGTGGGTTGTTTTTTTTTGTAAATAAAGTAGTATTTCTTTCCTGAGGCATCTTTCTATAGAACTGAGAAATTGTGCATTGCGATATGGGTACTGATTGTGCACAAAAAAACAAGCTATTTCTGAGCACTTCAAGTTGAATTGTCAAAATCGAGTGGTACATGTTTTTTTTTTTTGGTTTTAAAAATTCAAACGGGGAACAACAATCTCCTTCTGTGTTAGTTACTAAAACCGGTTTTATTCAATCACCTTAATTTATAGTGCCCTTAACCCTTTCACCTCAATTTAACATTTAGACAGTTTTAACAGACAAACTAAAAATACACATGCCTTCTAGAGAAATCCACAATCCTGTTGCCTGGATTTTGGCATTTTATCTGTACCCCGCTGAGATAAAAGCTCTCTGAGATTTTTATAGTGCAGAGTGCCGATTTTCGGAGCTCGGATAAATGCCTGGCTGAAACCCCCGAGGTTTTGCCATGAGTGCAGAAAACGGTCAAAAATAAATAAGCTAAACCTGTCTTTGTTCAGCAGGGGCCAAGGTTGATCAGCACATGGTGCTATCTTTTCACATGTGATTGGCATTTGTGTTAGTCAGGGCTGTGATCGCTGCCGTTTGATCTTGAGATTTTCTCCCGGTTTTAAGTTCCATGAGCGTGCAGTGACAGATCGCCTGTCAATAGCGGTTTAACTAGACAGCTGTAATAATACAACTGTTGTAATGGTTGTTTTTTTTTTTCCTCCATTAGTTTCTTTTTTTTTGCTGGGCACGTTTTCTTTGCAGCTGGCAGAGGTGAAAGCAAAATCAAATTCCAAGGGGAACGAGCCACTGCTTGTTCAGATAGGGTTGCTTTTCCCTTTTTCTACACGAGTCACTCTCCCCAAGCTGCTGGACCGGCAGCGAGCTGCGTCTTGCCTTTAACCTCAGGAGAGCCTAAGACTGCGAAATAAACCCAACAGCATTCTTGGAAGCCTTTCTATGTTGCAAATCCCAAATATCCCGAGACAAATAAAAATGTAGCTGCGCAGTGACTGAAAACGCTTTACAGACCTTTAAAAAAATACTTCACAATCATTGACTACTGGCAAGGCACCTCTGTTCAGTGAAACGTTCAGGTGCCAAGTGAAACAAATTAAAATCTAACACTGTAAAATTTCCTGGACATAAAAACTGGTTTATCTTTAAAAAAAAAAGTTGATAAGTGAACAGAACTCTGAGCTTTGCATTTTTGTAAAAGCATTCAGACATAAAATTGTATTGAAATCCATCTGGAACAGTGTATAGGTGTGGAGATACATGCTTTAATGGCAAAGCTTATTGAACAAGCTGTGCATAATTTGAAGATCCACTGGTCTGTGCCATTGCAGTGTATAAGAGCACATGCCTTAGTTAGGTCTGATTCTGGAACAGTGTATCTACGTAGGTTTTACTGATTCAGTACTAGTTTGACGCACAGCAAATTTGATAAAGAAGCTGAAATGTGCACACAATTGATATGTGAGAGAAATTGATTTGCTGTCCAGCCCAGTATCGGAAGAATGTTTTTAAAGAAAACATTTCATTTAATGCTGAGACTTCCTGAGCCTGTGTTCCTGAAGATCCTATTAGAGAGATTCGGAGGAGAGGGGGTTTTGTGAATGAAAACAAGCCAGTACAAGCAGGGTTGCACAATGCGTGACTCATTGATCTATACGTGTACAGACGTGAGGCAGAGATCCCCCCCCCCAAACAACAAATGACAAAGGAAAACAATTCTCTCTAATGCCTAAAGCTCAATTAGCAACATTTTAAATAAAAGGGTGTAAGTATAATTTAAGTGAAAACTGGAAAAACAGCATGCACAGTTCCTTTCATGAGACTAAATCTTGAAAAAATATTTTGTTGTATACGTGTTATATGCATTAAAAGCAAAATGATATTAAAGCATCTTACTTCTACACAAGAATCATATTTTTCTTTTCTTTCCAGGAATGCTTGAATATGACCCTGCAAAGAGGTTTTCAATACAACACATCAGACAGCACAAGTGAGTAACCAGCTGTACTTTTTGTTTTAAAAGGAAAGGTTTTGTCCCTGTACGTAAATGTACGTGCGTCACCACTTGGGGTGTTTCTTACTGAAAATCGCAAAGATTCCCAAGATGGTGAAAAGGATGATACTAATTTTAGTTTTTCTGCTATAACCTACTAATTCAGAAATTGCAATCACTCGTGTGTGTATTTGCATAATTTAATTGCCCACACTCGATTGAAAGATGGGGGGTCTGCACTTACTTTCACTCAAGCTCTTCCAAATCACAGTATCACCAATTTCCTGATTGTTTTATTTTAGTCATGGCTCCAGTGGGGATGAGAGTGAATCATTTAGTGGTGGAGCAGAGAACGCTAAGCTCTGCTGACGTTTTTCCTTCACCCCAGAATGGATGCTGTAATGAGGGTTTATATATGTGTCAGCAGGGGGGGGCTGTTATTTCCAGTTCTGGTTTTGCGAGCTGACAGTCTGGGTACTTCCAGTACACGTGAGACACGAGAGAGGTCAATCTAAACAGGAAGGGAGGAACGGGCATCTTTCAGATTTTGGGATGTAGGTGGGTCCTGTGTGCTGTGTTTTGGCAGTTTTTGCATCCGTGTGAGATTAAGTTGAGCTCCTGAAAGTACGGATCTCAGTGGCATTCTGGAGACGCTGTGTAAATAGACGGAATCAGTTCCCAGTATGAAAACCCTCACCTGCAGGGTCTCAAGTCACAACTTGTTTTACATGCAGTTCACTGATTGGGGAAGCTCAGAGCTGGTTGCTGCTGTAAGTGGTGTTGTTGACCAGTAGGTGGCGCAATACCCTCATTGAATTGCCAATTTAATGCCACAGTATGGCGATTTGTGCTAGTGGAGGTCCTTTGGATGAGCTAACAAGGTCCTTGTTGCGTAGCTGTAGAATATCCCATGGTGTCCTGGCTGAATTTCACCCTTTGCTTGTATAATATGGCCTCCCTAAAGTTCCCCCTTTCATCTGGAGAAGAATTTTCTCACTCCTGTACCTGATTGCACCTCAGTGGTAAACGAAGTGTACCGCCTAAATAAGTCCAAAAGTCTTTATGATCTTGTTGGACAAAATACTTAAGAATTCCCTTCATTTTTATAATGTCCAGCACCCATATCACTCTGCAACTCACAACTGGCAACCCACTGAAGCTCAGCAGGTGTGAGCCTGGTCAGTACCTGGATAAGAGACCTCCTGGGAAAAACTAAGG